TGAGAACTTGATATCATCCCTCTTTTCCTTGAATTCATATTTCCATCTCACTTCCTCCACACAAGCTTATCCTAACATAATATATTTTGACATTTCAAAATATTTTAAATTGATCACTCTATCATAATTCCTTAAAACAAAAAAAAGTAAATTTTAAAATGTCCAAGAACATAAGTTCTAATATTGTCATCATTAAATTACTAGAATAGTGTTGATGAATATTTAACATATAAAAAACTATAGTTATTTTTAAAATATAAAAAGCTTTTTTTTTTTTTGAGACAGAGTCTCACTCTGTCACCCAGGCTGGAGTGCAGTGGTACAATCTTGATTCACTGCACCCTCTGCTTCCTGGGTTCAAGCAGTTCTCGTGCCTCAGCCTCCCCAGGTGGCTGGGACTACAGATGTGAGCCACCATGCCTGGCTAATTTTTGTATTTTAGTAGAGACAGAGTTTCACCATGTTGGCCAGGCTGATCTTAAACTCCTGATCTTAGATGATCAGCCCGTCTCAGCTTCTCAAAGTTCTGGGATTACAGGCATGAGCCACCATGCCTGGCCTATAAAATACAAAGCATTTATTGGAAATGCATGTCATAAAGAAATGCACAGAACTTTCTATCCCCTGCCTCATTATGCCATGTACCCAGAAATAAATATTACTAATTGCCAAAAAGAAATGGAATTCAGGTTAATTCTATTTTTATATGTTATATTCTTTCATTCCAAACATTTGGGAGTGTCATGATTTCTGGTTGTAGCAATAATGATTTGTGTGAACTCCTAAGTTACATACCAAAAATCACATAGGGGTATGTAGCAAAAATTATTTTTAATGATCAGCTGATAACTCAATTTGGTCCTTCTGCAATTATTTTCTAAAGCAACTGAAAATCACCAATTTTGCAAAAGAATTAACTACTCGGTCATTAGATTCATTCACTTTCTAAACACCACTATCAAGAATTAGGTCAGATAAGGTATCCCCATATTTGTCAGTGAAGGAGGAACAATTGCTAAAGAGGAAAGCAGAAAGATGTCTAGTTCAGCACGCTCTGAGGAAGATCAATTTTAGGAACGAAAACATGCAAGTTGACAACCTGAGAATTAATATTCTTAAACTACCCTTAACTATACAACCCTCTGGAAAGCCTTTACATACCTCTCAAGGTTAAGTGTAAAGGATATATGTTGCCCAGTTCAGAGACTGCTGGTTTAAGATACACACAGGTTTAGATACATACAGTTTAACACAAGTCATGAACTTTAAGGCATTCATAACTCTCTCTCCCTCTCTGTGTGCGTGGTTGTGTGTGTGCATGCTCGCGTATGCATACATCTGAGAGAGAGGAAAAGGAGGGGTAAAGAGACAAGAAAGAGGGGAGAGGGAAAAAGTACGGGAAAAGAGGGAAGACAACCGCCTATGCCCAAGTATCAGTTTTTAATTTTGGTCATAGTCTTGAAATCGTTTTTATCCTTGTCACTAGAGGAAGAAGTTTCAAAAAAACAACACTGATAGATTGACACTGAAGCTGATATGAATATAAAAAAGACAGACACTGTCATTTCAATTTAGTGGTATTGATACATTAAGTCTTCTTCCTCTGACAATGAAGAGCCACATCTATCCAGGGTGTGCCAAAGCACAGTACTCAGAATACACAACAAAGAAACAGAAAACATGACCCCTGGGGTAGTTTGACACTAATCAAATTAAATATACAATTTAAATCACTAATCAGAAATTCACTTAAAATCTTTTCTTAAAAATTGCACTTATTCTTTTTACTGTAAATATTCTTCACAGCTCAGATACAGACATAGTCCTCATTTAAGAAAAAAAATTTTTTTATTTACATGTTGCCTAAGATTTGAAGCTCTAAAAATGCACCTTATTCTATTACCTACAAATAAGAAAAAAGGCCAAGCCACAGTCAGAAGTTGTGCTAGGTTCCATATTTTTTGATTTGCTAAGATACTGGATTTGAAATCCAATCTAATCCAGTGAAAAAGGGAACCCAGTGTCGGCCAGTATCATGTCCTTCAGAAGCCCTATCCCTGATGGAGAACATCTGGACCTTGGAGTTGGTGTGGGAGGGTGAAAAATGGTGAAGGAGCTTTTGAAATACCTTTTTTTTTTTCTTTTGAATGACAACATGTAAACAGGTCAATTTTCAAAGTGCCCAGTGTCAACAGTGTTCAACTCAGTCCAAAATGTCCATTCTGAGAAAAGTATATATAGATACATACATATATAAATATATATATATATATTTTTTGAGACAGAGTCTCACTCTTATCACCCAGGCTGGAATGCAATGGCTGGATCTCGGCTCACTGCAACCATCACTGCCCAGGTTCAAGCGATTATCCTGCCTCAGCCTCCTGAGTAGCTGGGATTACAGATGCCTGCCACCACGCCAGGCTAATTGTTGTATTTTTAATAGAGACGGCGTTTCACCATGTTGGTAAGGCTGGTCTCGATCTCCTGACATCGTGATTCCCCCCACCTCAGCCTCCCAAAATGCTGGGATTACAGGCATGAGCCACCGCGCGTGGCCAAAACTATATATTTTAAAAGCAGTGACTTGTTTTGAAAATTTCAGATTGAATTTGTAGCTACAAAAAAATATAATGGTTCAGAAGAAAAGAAACTGGCCTAAACCTGGCCTTGGAGACAGCTTTTTGGATGAGGTAATTCACAACTCCCTCTTGGGAAAATATGAAAATTCCTGAACAAAATGCCTAAGCAAAGTTCCAATAACTTTCAATGGAATCAAGATGCTCTGGAAAACCAACCACTCACAACTAGTTGGCTATAAGTTATCAGTTAGGACCCCTACATTCTTTTCTTTCTGTTATCTAGCTTAACAGTTATATAACTATTCTCTTTTCCTATAAAATGTCCCTATCAAGATATCAAGACTGTAACTTTCAATTAACTTATCAGAGGTCTTTCCCTGATAATAAACCTTTAATACATGATTACATCTAAACTGTGTAACAAGTTTTCTCTAATAATTCATTTTATTTGCTAAAGTTAATTAAAGTAGAAACAGGGTGGAAAGTGACCATTTGCAGCTAAATGCAATGAATATATGGATTATATTTTGTCATAATGTAGCAGGGGTTCCACAACCCAAAAAGAAAAATTAAGACGTTTTGCTTGACTAAATAATGATATTTGTATATCCTGATTAAGTAAATACGTTTGTTAATAAACTCATTATACGTTTGTTAATAAACCCATTGTGTGGGATGCACTGTAAAACAAAAATGGACTCTCATCAGATAAACTTCAAAATACTGATTTGTGACATTTTATTTTTATTTACCCTGAAAGAAAAGATTTAAGTGATTTTTCCTGCCTTTTCAACAATGCTAAAATTATTTTAAATTATGAACGAAGATTCGAAAACATTTTTACACCTTCAAATTAAAAACCAGGTTACCACTTTATTTCTGATGACTCGTGATGCCTCAACCAATTGTGCTAGCATTCTTCAAAACTCTACTTGTAAAAACACACCACCTAATGGTTCCGTTTGAAATTGAAAATTCTCAAAATGCATCATGGAAGCAGTCAAAAAAGTTAAGGACTAATACTTGCTCAAAATATTAAAAATACTGCTCTCTTCCGTTCTCCAGCCCACTAAATTGAAGGAAATCATTTCCTTTCTCAACGATAACACTAATAAAGATTTCCAAGTATTTTTAAAAATATCCTATAACTTCAACTTGTGGTCTTAGTTCATAACAGCTATAAATTTTCATTTAAATCTAAACCAAAATATAATACTACCGTATTTTCAAGTGAACCCTTGAGTGGAATTCATCCTATTGGACTGACAGTTGGACTGATAGTTAAGCCTGCAGATGACAAAATACTACTGTAAGGAGGTGGTGAGGAATGTCCGTATTGCTAATTGGCGATTAGTGAAGTTAAATTTCCTATAATTATTGTTCCTTGTTTATTTAATCAATAATACCCTAGAGCTACAGGGATTCCATCTGGCTGCGACCTTCAATGACTGTAATTAATTCAACTACTCGTAACTCCACAGCTAGGGACTATCATTTAGAAACAACCAGTTCCCTGGTGGCAACTCCAGGGAAGCCAGATAAATTCTGGCATCTTCACCCTGTGTCTCATTCCATAAACTGAGCAGTGTGCTGGAAGCCGCGGTGCCATTTGTGGGTAACCATAGCCCCCAAGCTATTCGTCAAGCTTGTACCTCAAGGGACTGCCTGAGGGCTTGCAACGAGCCTAGAAAACAGGCTACTGAGGGTTAAACGGCTACTAACAGGTTTCCCAGTTCCCAGCCACGTCTGGCGACACCACGTCGTAAACCTGTACAGGCGCTACTGAGCCGAGCACCACGCGCTCGGGAACCCCCAAGACGACGCTGAGTGAAAAAGACGCGCTAGAGGGCGCCCCTGAAAGCGACGCTTGGCCCGAGACACTGAAGCTGGTAACGCTCTTACCCAACACAATTCCACTTCACTACTCCGCCGCCGCCGCCGCCGCCGCCTCCGCCTCCTGGCGTCGCGCGGCCCCGCCCCGTCTCGCCGCGGAGGCTCACGGGATGTGTAGTACACCGCGCTGCCACTCCTGCACTTCCCCACCTCCACGACCGAACCCAGCTTGGCGAACGCCCTCCCAGCTCCCTCGGGCCTGACTTCCGGTTTCTCGCACCGCCCTGGCGCCGAGCCCGCGGACAGCGGCAGCCCCTTTTCCGGCTGAGAGATGATCCACCCTTTCAGTCCGTAGCTGCAGAGCTTCCCCTCCCTCCGGCCCGTGCTGGTCCCGACGGCGGGCTTGGGTCGCGCGCGCGTATTGCTGGGTAACGGGCCTTCTCCCGCGTCTGCCGGGCTCCTCCTGCCTCCTCTCGCCCCTCTTTCCAGAACGTCCAGGGTTCCTGCCGAGTCCGAAGACATGGGATTCCTTCCGCGGCGCACCCCGAGCAGCTCCCTTCGCTGTGGAACCGGCGGTATCTTCGAAGAAACCGGAAGCCCGTGGTGACCCCTGGCGACCCGGTTTGTTTTCAGTCGGTTTCCAAACACTAAGGAATCGAAACTCGGCGGCCTTGGGGGCGGCCCTACGTAGCCTGGCTTCTGGGTGAGTGACTCTCCAGGGCCGGGCGGCGGATAGGGATGCGGGCAGTGCCGCGGCCAACCTCCGCTGCTGTTGCTGGTCGGAAGAGACACGTCATTTTTCTCACTCCCTCCTGCGCCCCCTACTTTGACTAGGGAGCGGCCCACTCCTGGGCATCCCTCTCTTTCCCCTGTTACCCCCACACCCCAGCTGTCCAGGCCCTTCTTGGTTATTCACTTAACTTAGCTAATTGCTCCTTTTCTTTCCGTACTCTGACCTACTGGGGCGCCTTCGGTTTTTTTTCATTCATTGGGACTACATCTGTATCGGAGAGAAAAGAGGGACGTGTGTCTAGGACGGTACTCCCCGGGCATCTGAGTAGTGAATATCGACCCCCTGCACTTGATCGAGGGCTAACAGGTATTCGTCGTTTCTCCAATGTCTAACTTGTATACGGTATTCAGTCCAGCCTTCAGCTATTTGTTGAGTGATTACTACTACGTGCAAGGTAGGCTAACACCCTCTACACACAAGAAACCCCAGTACTCGAAAGCGACAAAATGCCCACGAAAACTCTGATACAAATCAAACCTTTAGTTGCTCCCGGACATAATGCAGATTTGTTAAGGGGATCAAGAACAGACATACCAGGATTAAAATTGACCCTTGCTCCTTAAGTATAGAAGACATTTTGGTTTTTAGTTTGGAATTTCAAATTGGGTTGAGCAAGACCTCGAGACACAATTTCGTTTCTCTAAAAACGCCTTATCTCATTGCCCAATCTTGTGATCATTCCATCGTCTGTAAATTGAGAGAGAGCCCATCTTTACAGGATATTTACAAAATTTTAATGTGATATTGTAAGTGAGACATCACATGCAAATAGAAGGTTTTAGTGTTAAAGAGACAGCATAACATAATGAGAAATGACGCTGGATTAGGTCAGAACACCAGTACCTGAATGCAGATTTTTCCACACTTGACAGTGAGTAAGAGGCTAAACTACTTCCTCATTTTCTTTATCTCAGAAATGGGGGTAATACATACTCTAAGGCACCAAAGCATAGTTTCTCACAGTTATGCTGACTCTGGAGTCAGCTGCCTGATTTTCCTTTCTGGCTCCTTTACTTCCTAATGTTTTTATGTCTCAATTTCTCCACCTGTAATACAAGGAGATTCTTTACAACCTCAGAGATATTACATAGATTTACTGAATCGTTATGAAGAACAAATAAGATCGTTTCTCTAAAAGGTGAAGCACACTGCTTGGTGTACCATAAACACGTGGCTACTATTACCAATGCAAGTCCTTGTCCTGATTATTAAGCAAAATGATGAAGTTTTTTTATAATCCGTGAAGTAATAGAACCAATCTTTTTTCTTTTTTACTGAACTTACATTCAGAATCCAAGTATAGTTGTCTTATCACTGTTAGAAAATAATTATCAATAACACCAGTAACATTGAATGTATGGTAGGTGCCCAGTTGCATTAAAGGTATTACTGTATGAAAGGAATGAAAAGTAGACTTCTCTTCATACCTATGCTGACTCTGGAAGAGTCCTGTGTTTCCGTGGCAATGCAAACTCATTTCTAGACTAACGCAATTTGTTGGATGACTCAGTGAGGGTCATAAAAATTAAGTTGGAGTTTTTCTTCTTATTGTATATCTAACACAGTACGTTTTGGACATTTATTGAATTACAGGGCATTTTATTGCTAATGTATACATACTAAGCAATGATGTCTTGAAAAGAGGTACTTGATGACCCTTCTTTATAACTAGTTAGGCTATTTCTGTCCCTCTTTGATTACAGACAGAGAAAGATAAGTAAGCATTGGTCTGTTCATCTTTATAAGCCTTAATTTTTGCTCCATAGTATTTTGACTGATTGTACGAAATGGGTATGGGAATATCCTAGCTTTTCAGAGGTAGAAAGGTGATGAAAATTCTAAATATGATTTACTTCAAGAGGCAATATAGAATACAGAACCTACCATATAGGCCTTGATTCAAACTTCAGCTCTATCACATATTACTTGTGTGAATATTGGCAATTTACCTCGCCTCTTTGAGCCTCAGTTTCCTCATTTATCATGGTGCCAATACCTTTCTAGCCAAATTTGGTGTGGACTTGAGATAATGTGTGTACTATACCGTATAGGCAGTTCCTGGCATAAATGTGAATTCCATTCTCTCTGTTTAGGTTGCCATTATTCTGTATTCATACTAAACTTTTGCCTTCACAGTTTAGTAAGGTGGCATCTTAGTGATGCGATCTAACCCTGTCATTCTACAGATGGAAAAATTTCTATCTGGAGAGGTAAAGTGAACTAAACTATAATCAGGGTAGTAAATCCTAGGCTAGAATCTGTGTTTCTGAATCCTGGGCAAGTGTTCTTTTCGACATAGTTATTCCGTGTCCATATTCTTCTTAGGATAACCAGAATCCCTTTTGTATTGCCTCTCCAAATTAAGAGCACTGACTTAGAAGACAGCTTATTTGGGTTCACATCTCAGCTTTGCCACTGATTAGTTGTGTAACTATAGGTAAGGTATTTAACTTTTCTAAGACTTCATTCATAACTTTGGGTGATAGTACTTAGCTAAGTGGTAGAAAAACTCATGTGAAAGCGTTAATGACTGGCATATGTTAAGTGATCAATAAATGGCAGATATAAAGATGATGAAATGTGATGGGATAATCATACTTATTCCTAGAAGACCAGTCAGATATCAGCAGATAGGTTTTCTAGTATCCCAAACCTTGATATATGTAGCATATGAACAACTGAAAGTTCTCTCAGTGTTGACTGCAATGATGAAGGCTAAAATTTAAGATCCTCTAAAATAATTCTAATAGTGTTTTAATCTTGTTTTTTCCTGTGTTTCTCCCCAAGCCCCAGGTAATGCTGTTCTCATTTCTACCTACTTTATCTGACAAGCTGTGCCCTTTCTCCATTATTATTACTGGAAATTTCATTGTTCTCAAAAATAATTGTCAACAGCGTTTACCTCAGTCTTTTCTAATTCTCTTTTTACGTTTAAGCAAACCTCTAAAGGGAAACAAAATTTAATTGCCAAATATATGAAATATTTGCATGACTACGTATAGAAATACTTTCCTGTAAATATGTTTTATTTAACCCCCCATTATATTGTGATGAGATGATGAATGTGAAATTACTTTCTGTAATATTAAAAGTAAAATCTTAATGCAAAAGTGAAAGGGTGTTTACTAATTCATAACATAGAACTGACCATGCCCACAAATGTTCAAGGATAGTAATGAAAACATAGGTTTATTATTTTAAGAAAATTTAAATTGTGATAACAAAACTAGACATAATGTTAAGTGTCTCCAGATGTTAAATGGTATAACTAGCTTGGTCTAGTTTGTCAAAGAGAATAGTAGCCAGTTACACTATTACCATTTATCTAGAAAATCAGACTTGATGAGCCAACTGATTTGTGTGCACACACACACAGCCATTTTATCGCAACTAAAATGTATAAAACTGAATCTTTAATATGAGGCAGATTGCCACAGCTCCCTTTACTTCTCTGTAGAAATATGTTTTATGGAGGATGCTTGCATAGCAGTAAAACCAAAGGCTACACATAGCCTACTTTGTTATTTTGCTAACAGGTTTCCTTTCGTTATATTAATAAATATAATGGGATATCTGCCTTGTATTGTTTCCTTTTTAAGATCTCACTTTCCCCGGCCCTGTAGCTTTTACTCTCAGAAGTCTGGTTTGTACAGACTAATACGCTAAGTATTAATATTCTCATACTTGTGATTTCATATTTATTTTTGCAGGGATAGAAATTAAAATTTTAATTATCCATTTTATGCCAAATTTAAATGACAGTTATTTTAGAACTTAATAAAAGTGGATATATATCTGTGCTGCTAGCAGATTGTATGCTTTAATATGTGGCTATTTCTTAATGTAACTTTTAGGACAGATAAGCAATTTGATGCTGCTTTTCAGCATATTCTAAGTAATGTTTATAGTATAGAATAATGGTATAAAATGAAAAAATCTTTTTATGCCATTGTTTTCTTACAGAGAAAACATGTATTCAACTTTTGATTTACAAATAAAATGGCAACAGATATCAATAGGTAAACCAGTCTGACTACTCATATTGTCTTAAAAATGACCGGCTATCATGTTGTATAAAATCTGACATTATTGGCTGGGCACTGTGGCTTATGCCTGTAATCCGAGCACTTTAGGAGGCAGAAAAGGACGGATCACAAGGTTAGGATATCGAGACCATCCTGGCCGACATGGTGAAACCCCGTCTGTATTAAAAATACAAAAAAAGTAGCTTGGTATAGTGGTGCGCACCTGTAGTCCCAAGTACTTGGGAGGCTGAGGCAGGAGAATCACTTGAACCCAGGAGGCGGAGGTTGCCGTGAGCCAAGATCACACCACTGCACTCCAGCCTGGAGACAGATTGGGACTCCATCTCAAAAAAAAAAAAAATGACATTATTATATCATTATACCCCCTTCCATATAAAGTACTTTTGTAAGCCTTCTGAGGGATTCCTGGTCTTGTAGGAGTGTAAGGTTTTGTAAAAGATTCATTAGAGAGGGGAAAATATTAATAGCTCAGGCTCTAAAATTCAAGTCCTGTTTTCATGCTAATTATGTGATCCTGGCTGAGCTTCATTACCTTTCCAGGTCCCAGTTTTCTCATCTGTGAGATGAGTTTGATAAGATTTTGTACCTCATAGGACAGTCTTCAGAATTAAATGGGATAATGTTTGTAAACATTTAGCATAATGCTAAGTAGTTCATTTGGTTGTGAATTTTTTAAAAAAATCAACACATGTAAGTATTCGTACCCTTTAATCATGTGCAGGCCTAAATTTTTTAAAAATCAACAGAATAAGCATCAAAATCCATAGTGTCTCTATCAGGAAGGACCATCTCAGTTTGTCTCCATTCTGTTTTTGTTAATCTCATCTCCTGCCACTCCCCTTCTCAACCTCTCTCCCCACACTTAGATCTCTGAACTTGTTCCTTCTGCTGGAAGTTAGCAAACTCTAAAGGTGTAAGTACAATAAGTACAATACAATGAAAATCACCATCCTCTTTATTTAAAGGTACAGTGTTAAGAGACATTTGCTCTTTTGTGGTATCTTCTGTGAAAACCACTTCTCCCCATCCCTCAGACCTTCAATAGCATTTTGTATTGTTTCAAATGTATTGCCTACCTTTATAGTATAATAATAATTTTTCTGCATAACTCTGCCTCTCACTCTGGGTTTTTCTTGCTGTGTAAATGATTGTTTCATGATAAAAATGAAGAAATAAATCACAGCTGAGCTAATTAGAACTTTGCGTAAAACAAAAGTGCATGAGCCCTGATCCTTAAAATACACAAACCTCAGGATATCTGTTTTTGACTTTGTAGGGCAGTTAATGTTATTTCTTATTTTCAGCTGTCTTTAGAAAAAATACGCATCAAATAAGTCCTCCCCATTGGGTGATTATTAAATTATTTAAGCCAAATGTCTAGTATGGGCACAATTTTACCTCTCCTTAAGCTAGACTGTATTCTACCACTTACCTAGCCATCTATGCTTATTTTACTGCTACTTTTAAGGGGTGCGTGTGTAAGAGTCTTATATGAAGATATATATGCATTCTTTCATTTGCAACATGGGAATAACTTGTACTTTTCTTCTGAAAGGAAATAATGAGAGTTTCAGCTAGCAAGAGCATGACTGGAATGATGTTTGCTCTTATTAAGAGACTGAAAAGTAAACTCTTTTAGAGGAAGAAAATTTAAACTCTTCATTATTAGGAGAAACTGGCTTGCATCAGAAGCAGCATGAATTAATTATGATTCTGAGAATCTGCCACTTTTTTGGTATACTGTAGATAGCATAGTCTATTCTTGTTCTTGCACTTTATTGAAAAACTGGGAAAGATTGTACCTTAAGAGTGGAGTTGTCTTGTATGGTTAGAAAATGTTAAATTGGTGTTGGTGAAGATTGACTAGAAGGCAGGTTTCACCTACTCAAGACTTGTAGCATACACATTTGTTTTTATCTGCCTTTCATGCAATCCTAGATACAAATTGCTGAGATGCTGCCAACTCTTGCTTTAGTTGACCACAATTGGAAGTTTTTAATTGTACAATTAGAAAAGCAAAGTACTAACCTTTTGTTAATATTCATGTGGTTTGAAATAAGGCAAAAGGAATGTTACAGGCAGGAGTTGGCACAGGAGAGAGATTAGACATTTTGGAAGAAAGTAGGCATAGTGAAACACAGGTTTGAAATATGGCTGTAATTAAATTGCCTGTGTTTATATCTCAATCTGCACTTAATATGTTTTTTCTTGGAGACGGAGGTTTGCCCTGTCACCCAGGCTGGAGTGCAATGGCACAATCTCATCTCACTGTAACCTCCCCCTCCTGGGTTCAAGCAATCTGCTGCTTCAGCCTCCCAAGTAGCGGGGTCTACAGGCAGGCACCACCACGTCCAGCTAACGTTTTGTATCTTTAGTAGAGATGGGGTTTCAGTTTCACCGTGTTGGGCAGGACGGCCTCAAACTCCTGACCTCATGATCTGCCCACCTCGGCCTCCCAAAGTGCTGGGATTACAGGCGTGAGCCACTGTGCCCAGCCCTATGTTACTTTGGAAAAAGTACTTAAATTCCTCCTACCTCAGTTTCTTCATCTAATGTTCTAGAACAGTGACTGATACTAGTAACCACATTTTATTTCAAGCAAGGGATAGTTTAAAAACTCACTTTCTAGTAATAATTACTGACCTAAGATACATGACATTCAGTCGATAATCTTTATTTAGAATGCTGTATTTAGTGTTTTATTTTAAACTAAAAAATATTTTAAAGAACTTTTTAGGTTCTCCTGCATGATCTGAAGTCCCTCTTACCCTCTTTTTCCCAGGAGGTCTTAAAAGGTTTTAGCCACAGTTTCTCCTTCTATCATGTTTTTCAGGAACATGACTCCCAGAGAAGTAATGCTGAACCTAATAGCAAAAGTAGATGTACAGAGCAAGTCAATTTTTCATTTAATAATGAAGGCAACTGGCTTCTTCTTTTAGGTTTTAGAGTCAGAGTTTCATTTGAATCCTACTCTACCCACTCTTCATTCAGCAATCAATATTTATTGGGCAACTTCTACACAGTGGTGAGTTGAGAACACAATGATGAGCAAAACAGACATAGCCTCTGCCCTCACAGAGCTTAACATTCTTCTAGATTTAACTGAGCTAATTCAACTTTCTAAAACCTACCTGTAAAATGTAGATAATACCTACATCATAGAATTGTTTAGATGATTAAAAGAGATGATGATATAAGAATGTAGTGCAGGATAGTGGGACATAATGGACACCCAAATGTTCATTTATTGTTTTTGATTCTGAATATACAACAAACATAACCAATTACTGGTATGGAAAGAATATAGTAGAGTATGCATTCAGATTTCTATAATATTAATATGTTGTAATGAATTATACTCAAAGAATTTTTGAAAATTTATAAATTGAAAAGCTATAAAACTTGCTATAAGAGGTCTAAGTGGAAATGTTAAGGGAAGAAATGTTTTGGGATAAAGTATTTTTTAAAATTTTGACTGTTTTAATGGAAAGTGATATTTCAAACTTTTATAGAATGTACTAATAATTATGGTTTTAAATGCTTCATAGATACCATCTTATTTAATATTCCTAAGAATCTATGAGGTATTTGCTATTATTTCTTATACTTTATAAATAAGGAAACTGAGGCATAGAGGTTAAGCAACTTGCCCAAAGTCGGACAGACACTAAATGGTAGAGTTTAGAATACAACCCAGATGGTCTGGTTTTTAAACATTGTTCTAGTATTTACATTAATCTAACTATAACGTTTTTTCCTTTTCACTTATTCAGTGAGACATTTGTCATTCATATTTTTTCTTTTAAACAGCTGTCATGGATACCCTGGTAGAAGATGATATCTGCATTCTGAATCATGAAAAAGCCCATAAGAGAGATACAGTGGCTCCAGTTTCAATATATTCAGGAGATGAATCTGTTGCTTCTCATTTTGCTCTTGTCACTGCATATGAAGACATCAAAAAACGACTTAAGGATTCAGAGAAAGAGAACTCTTTGTTAAAGAAAAGAATAAGATTTTTGGAAGAAAAGGTAATCTTTTACCTTCATTGTGTTCTGTGACATAAGGAATAATTCAAAATATTTGCAATTTTGAATACTTTTTGTCCTCTCTTCCGTGGTTGTGGGCATTATACTTACCATCCTGTGTTTCACATACTATGTACTTGATGAATATTTATAGGAGAGGATTTAACAACTTGGAGTAATAGTCCAAATATTTTCCTTTCTTTTTCAGGTTTACTTACCTTTGTAGCTGTATATATTTTATTTAGAATTTTCAAATCTGGGCAAAAAAAAAAAAAAAATGATATACCAACAAAGGAAATTAAGTGTCAAAGGAGGAAGCTTCTGGAACATTGTTCCAATAGGTTTAATAGTATCTTTACCAGGGCTGAAATCTTTATCTCAGTTTTCTTTCTCTTTTATTCTTTAACAGATATAATAGGAATAATGCTTTTAACTGATGAATTAATATTTTCTGTTTACCTTTCCATGTATAATTGTGACACACCTAACTGCTATAGAATATGTAAGTAAAGTAGCTGATTCAATATGAAGCACCAATCTACTTGGCTTTATGTATGGGGAATCTTCTTTAGTTATCCTTTTATTTTTGATTTTTAAAGTTTTAACTTATCTTAGTTTATATTTTTTCAGCTCAGATCAGAGCGTTTTTATTCTACAAAGAGCAGCTACCACCACGGGTGAAGAATGAGTTGTCCTGTGTAATGGAAATTAATTATCCAGGGAAATTAATTATGCTATATAAAAAAACTTGAAGATGGGGCTTGGCAGAGTTTGATTCATTTTGGTGGGAAATAAGAGGCAAGGAGTCAGTTGTAAAAATAATTATAATTTCTTTGTATTCATATGAATTATTTTTACTTCAATGTTGATTATGTAAATTTGTAGGATACAGTGAGAGAAGGTAACATTTTGGAACTCATAGCTTTATTTTAAAGTTTAATAGAAAAATGGGATTTTATGTATAGTTAACATTGGAAATATTTCTGTACTTTGTGACCAACAATCCTGTTAGTTCCTATTCTCTAATATAAAGGATTTAATGAATTAGCACACACATCTATTTCTTAAAAAGTCAGGTATGCCAGCCAGGCGCAGTGGCTCACGCCTATAATCCCAGCACTTTGGGAGGCAGAGGCGGGTGGATCACAAGGTCAAGAGATCGAGACCATCCTGGTCAACAAGGTGAAACCCCGTCTCTACTAAAAATACAAAAATTAGCTGGGCATGGTGGTGTGCGCCTGTAGTCCCAGCTACTCGGGAGGCTGAGGCAGGAGAATTGCTTGAACCCAGAAGGCGGAGGTGGCGGTGAGCCAAGATCATGCCATTGCACTCCAGTCTGGGTAGCAACAGCGAAACTCCATCTCAAAACAAAAAAAAAAAAGTCAAATGCCTTGGCTGGGTGCGGTGGCTCACGCCTGTAATCTGAGCACTTTGGGAAGCTGAGACAGGTGGATTGCCTGAGGTCAGAAGTCCGAGAGCAGACTGGCCAATGTGGTAAAACCCCATGTCTACTACAAATACAAAAATTAGCAGGGCGTGGTGGTGTGCACCTGTAATGCCAGCTACTCAGAAGACTGAGACAGGACAATTGCTTGAATCTGGGAGGCAGAGGTTGCAGTGATCTGAGATCACCCCACTGCACTCCAGCCTCGGCGTGCAATGAATCAGGTAATTATCATAACTGCCTGATTCATTTTCCCACCAAAATTTATCAGGTAGTTATAATTTAATGTTATAAAACAGATACCATGAATTATAAAATACTGTTATGTAAAAGCATAGAAAGCTCAAAAAATATTCTATACATTTTTGCTTTCTTGATCAGTAAAGATTAATTGTGCGGAAATGGAATGCTCACCAAATGAATCCAGGCTTTATCTCTATACTGCTACGATTGAAGTAAGATATGGAGCCTTCAGAACACTGACTTATTTTTTATCTGTAGAATACTCTCTTAAGCTTTCTCTTCTAATTTCATTCCATTAGCTAATAGCTCGATTTGATGAAGAAACAAGTTCGGTGGGACGGGAACAAGTAAATAAGGCCTATCATGCATATCGGGAGGTGTGCATTGATAGAGACAATCTGAAGAGCAAACTGGACAAAATGGTGAGTTGGTTTGAAAATAATGACATATGTATTTTGGAAATGAATTTTCTCCTTCAAGGAGTTTAAAATTAGAAGTAAGTTAAATATTTATATTTAGTAATTAAAATTTTATATACATGTTCAAGACAACATGGAAATTTGAGTAATATTTTAACTTATTTCTATATAAAATATTTAGTATGTAATAATGTTTAGGACTTAAATACATCTAACACCACTGACTTATTTTGAAAAATGATGACATGGTAGATTTAGTCTTTTTTTTCTTTTTAAGCCCGCAAATAATAATGTCCTAAATTAGAAAATGAATAAAAGAGATTACTGAGAAACTGAGTTCATTTTTTCCACCTTGCTTTTAAAGACAAGAATGGGGTTTTTTTTTTTTCTACCTGAAAATTACAGTGTCATACCAACCTGTAGATTTTATTGAATGTAATTTGGCATTTTCCCTACTTAACTAGAATAAAGACAACTCTGAATCTTTGAAAGTATTGAATGAACAGCTACAATCTAAAGAAGTAGAACTCCTCCAGCTGAGGACAGAGGTGGAAACTCAGCAGGGTATGCCAGTTACTTGTTATCAATATTCTAACAGAATTTATATATTTTTCCATGTATTTGTAACATTAACAATTTTCTGTACTCACATGCTCAGACCTTATTTTTAAAATTTTTATGTTTATGTTAATCTCTATTCTACCTTCACATATATCAACTTCCTTTGATTTTTCCTTAGCTATATATTTCACTTTTCTTAGAGAAAATGTGATGGTTCTATTCAGGACTAGTTTGTGATGAAGTAGAGGAAGAAAGGAGTAGAAGCCCAGAAGCAAGAACAGAAGTCAAAACATCTAGCCCACTGGTTGTCCTGGCTTCTCTTTCTTACCCAACATCTTGCCCACAGATAAACACACTGCTGTGGAGTCATTACAATTTCTTTTTCTTACTTAAGGTTGTTAAAAGGTGCAGATGAAATATTGGCATAGAAAGTTAGATCTGGGGCTCATGGATAAATAGCCTGTTCTCATGAATATTGAGGCAAGCTAAAGAGTGGGCCTCTGAGAGACTTTGATAGGAGATTGAGATACAGTCTCTTAGTGTAGCTGGTTGGGGCTTTCTGCAGCAAGAGAGACTGAGGTACTAAGTAAGGACTAAAGCAGTATCCAGTTGTATTGAGTTTCTGCAGTGGAATATCTAAGGATAAAATTGTTTCGACATCATGTTCTGGGCTCATTGGTCAAACTTCATACTTTGAGAGAACTAGATGGAATGATTAGCTGAGCCTCAGTTTATTATTTTTGTCACTGTCTTAACCTTGACTTTGCAGAATGTTAATCTGTCTGCAATTTTAGCATATGCTTGATTTTAGGATAGTTGTCTTTAGAAATTCTAAAACAAGATTCCTAGATTTCTTATTCTCCTTAGCATAGATCTTTGAAAGTATCAATCATTACTGTTTTTTAAAACCTATTGATCATATATGTTTTATGTTAGTTTTTCTGTTATCTAGATTTTACCAGAATAACCTTTTTAAGAATTGCATTCAATGTAGAAGGAAAAGATAACAGTTTCAATGTCCATCCTTTTTGTAGTGATGAGGAATTTAAATCCACCTTCATCAAACTGGGAGGTGGAAAAGTTGAGCTGTGACCTGAAAATCCATGGTTTAGAACAAGAGCTGGAACTGATGAAGAAGGAATGTAGCGATCTCAAAATAGAACTACAGAAAGCCAAACAAACGGTATTACAGAATTATTAAATCGAGAAATTCAGTATTCTTTGTGCATCATATGTAGGATTTATAACTAAGTATGTGTTAAACCGTAGAGTTAACATAAATTATAATTACTTAGAGAATATTCTGTTCCTTGAAAAAATTATGTTTATCTACATCTTTAAGCATTTCTGCGAAAATTTGACATGCCATATACTTTTAGTCTGTTCCAAAATTATACAATTTGTTTTTTAAAAGGTTGATTTTTAATAAGCTTATGAGTTTATTATAACTGTTCTTTCAGACTCCCTTTCCTTCATTTTCCTTAAGTTATTTTTTTCTCTGTAAAGTTTAAAGAGAACTCAGGTTTTAAGCCCTATTTTATTTTACTTAATAATTTCATTAATTTAGATATAAGGGACAACTCGATTTTTTGGAACTAAAAAAACACGACCAATAAAGAAAAGGTAACAGAGCTTACTTATTATCAGAACAGTAATACTTTCGGGGCATCTTTACCAGCAAATAGCTGAGAATTCAAGAATTGGAAAAAATAACAAAAACCTACCAACTTGCTGGAGTGTGGTTAGCCTAAAGTCATCCACTAAAAGAAGCTGCCTCTTAGATCCTTACCAAGAGTCTGTGTGCCCAATATTTTACATTGGGTTCTAAAAAGTTTGGACCTATATTTTCAGATGTCATGACAGAGCTGAGATTAAAAGAAGAAATGATAAAGAAGCAGGGAAGTGTGAGAGCAATGCACCAAATGCAGATTTTAAATAGTTATTACAAGAAATTGAAAAGCTTAGTAGTCTGGAGCAAATAGCCATTTTATGCATTTACGTATCTCAACTAATGTATATAATTGTTTCTCCACTCAACCATTTTGCCTACTAAAGCATTTTAACACTATTGAGGAATTGTGTTTCTCATTCCTTGTCCCTTTGGGATGCCACCACTTGAAAGGGGAACTCCATCCCCTACTTCCTGACTACTTGGCAGATTCTGCCCTGAATCTCAAGTGTTCTTAGATGGAACTGATATTTCTTTATTCTGTAATGTAGTTTTTATGAGAGGTGGCCACTTGATAAGAATGAGCCAGATACTGAGAATAATAGAGCATTCTGCCTAGTCCTTGACCAAATGAATTCCTCTGAACTGGGCATTGAGAACTCACTTTGGTGCCTCCATTCCTGATAAAAGGGAAACACTACAAAAATTACTGTCAACTCTTGTTAGAGCCAAAGTGCTTTTTTTCCTACTTGACATATAAAGTTAATTTTCCAAGTTTGAACTTGTGGCCACACAGCACAATTCCTTCAGAGACTCAGCGTCCTATTCCATGGCCCAGTTGCCATCACCACCACTGAGAAGCCTCTTTTCAAAGGACATGCTTACAAGAAAAGATCTGCACCTTGAAGTTCTGAATTCTAATTGCCAGAATTTATATTCTATTTGAAAAGAAATAATTTGATGGCTTTTATACGTAATGGATAGTTTGTTGTACTGTAGGAAGCAGTACCATGAAATTGAAATCTTAGCTTATAGTTGTGTTGCCTATTAGCTGTAACATTAGGGACACCATTTTACTTTTTGGAAGTTGTTTTCTATAAAGTAGACATTAAATACCTTTTTTCATGAAGGTTAAATTACAGTATGTAAAGTAGTTAGCATAGTGGGCAATATATAGTATGTTCAGTAAGTAAATGCTTTTTAAAAGCTTGATGATAGTAATCCAGAAAGACAGTGCCTTTAGGTTTTTATGTGTGTTGAAATTTCTGTTCTTAATATGTTAGTTGCTCTTTTCCACTAGATGGTGCTAGGGAATAAATTCGCTTTTAGTTTAAATTCATCTATCATAAGTGACCAAATCACAGAAACAGACTTTTAGAGGTAGAAGAAACTTTAAAAATCACTTTTCTTTAGCTGATGACTAAACTAAATATGAGAGACAAGAAACTTTTAACAGTGGAACATGAGATGAGAGAGGAATATTGAAAAAGTATTTACAACATGGTCCCCACCTTCAAAGGCGTTTATTTAGGGGTAGGGTAAGGCTGTGAAATAAAAAAGGTTCACAGCTAAAATAAACAAATGAATCTAGAAAAGGAAGAGTGGAAATACCAGTTCATCAGGGGTTCCAAGTTGAAATCTTGATGTTGTGAGATGCGTACTTTCAAATCATGTTTCAATGATGTTGCTGACCAGAGTCCTCTTAGATACAGGAATCTGAGAAGAAGCCAAGGAGAGAAATTTATGTTCACATTACTCTAGCCATATTAACAAATCTTTTTTTAAGATGGTATTTTCAGTGAAGCATTTTTTAAAACCTTCTGAAGCATGTGTTAGCATCCTACATGGATATAACAATGCTTTTTGTTTTGGGTTTTTTTTTTTTTTAAGTATTCTGGTAGGGAATTCAGTTCATTAGTATTTGATGTTAGTGATGTTCTAGGGGCAGTTCCACTATGGGCCTTTTAGACTTTATGTGTCCCCCAGTATTCCAACCATTTATATTCAGAACAATTGATCCTGTGAGAAATACAGACTCTAGGGCCAAAGAATTGAGATACTTGATCAGTAAAATGAAGTTGTTTTAAAAGATGTCTAAAGTCTCTAATAATAGTAGCCCAGTTAGAGATTCACAATGTGCTGTAGTATACTAAAGGTTCTCCTGTAGTACAGAAACCTATATAACTTGAACATTGTTTACCAAGATTTCGTAGCCATGGGCCTCTCCTTATATGAAACTCCCACCTCATATGGCACTAGCTGGTGAACAGATCCATTACCACCTTTAGGACATGGCAGATCCATTACTAGCCAAGAAAAGGGTCTTTAAATACTAGATACATTCCCTATGAGTTTACAGCTGATGTACATTAGAGTGCGAATTGTTAGATAGTAGCTGGAAAAACATTTTTCCACTCAAACTGTCAAATTATTTTGTATTGTTGGCTTGAAAAACGAGGAAGGTTTTCAATAAACATATATGCCTAAGTATATAGTAATTTAAAAAAATTTCTTTTTAATTGGTGATACAAAGATACTAAAAGTGATCTGATCAGGTCCTTTCATTTCCTGTAAGGAACGGAGAAAAACAAGGTCCAAGGATACGTGTCTTGTTAGTAGTCAAACCTCCCCTGACCTGTGGGCAGTTCTGTTTCCCCTCTCCATAGGGCTCCCTAAGATTTAACTTAACTGTTAGAGTATCAAAATCAGAGATCCAGAAAGGTTTTAACTCCTGTAAAATGAGGCATTTTTCACATTTTACTCTCAAGTTCAGAATACTCATGAAGTCCTTATGTTGCTTTTTAGTGTTTCACTGTAAAATATGCAATTTAGATTGTATTGGTAAGAAATGATAAAATTACATTTTGTATTCTGAGCTTATACTGGCCACTTCTGCCAGTAGAATTAGTACCTGCGATAATCATTTTTATTTGTTACAAACCCTTGTATGAGAATGCATTGCAAACAAGTGTTACAGAGTTGTCTCAAACATATTAAGTCCATTTAAAAATATCTTCTATAGATTCTTTGTCATATCTGCAACCTAAATAATCTACTAAAACTTGAAAGTATCTAGGGACTTTATGAAGTCCTTGCCAGGTCATTTTTAATCCATGTGGAAGGAGGAAATGTATGCTGATGTTTTAAAACAGTAACCTGTTAAAATTCTGGTATGTTTTTGGTAATAGCGCAAAAAAGTAAAATACCAAAAAACTTTCATTTTCCCATAGAATTAATTCAGCTGTACCGTAAATAGAAATTTGATAAATATGTAATATTTTTTTGAATATGGACTTCAGATTGGTGTCTTTAGAAATATATTGTAAGATTACAAGTTCTTTTACAAAATGAGAGCAATTTTATTTTTTTAAAGAGAATTAAAGCATTAATACTTTAAACCATTGGAAGTGATTTAGAGATATTTGTTACAGATTGAAAGTATTTTATTAAAATTGAGTATAAAATCTTATTTTATGCTCTACCATTATAGATATATTCTATCAAACCTGAAACATGTCTCTGGTAATAAAGAACTGAGACTAAATAAAATGTAAAAGTTATAACTTTTAAACTTCTTTTTTTTAAAACAAATGGCAGGATCCACATCAGGAAGACAATCTGAAGAGCAGAGATCTCCAAAAACTAAGCATTTCAAGGTACGACCATTCTTCAGCATTAAAATAATACATTAGCCTTTTCCATAAATCACTTTGCGTAGGTCCTTAGATTTCTTTTACGACTTAACCTTAAAATGAATAGATGTTGTTTGGATACGGAATGTAACCTCTGATCACAATATATTTATAAAAGAAAAATTAATTGTTACGTAACAACAGCTTTGAATTTTAAGTAGTGGGAAAATGGGATGCCTTAAATTCTCTGAATATTCAGTAGTATTTTAGGTATGATTTTAGGGAACTAGTTATGTGAAAGAATTCTGTAATACTTAATTTGTACATAAAAGAATTATTCATTATGTGTATACAGTAACATTCCTTTTACTTAAGGGTACACTTGGCCAGTGTTAGTCTTTGGGATAGAATGACTTTTTTTTTTTTTTTTTTTGAGACAAGGTCTCTGTAGCGCATCCTGGAGTGCAGTGGCACAATCATGGGATAGCATGAATTTTGAGGACTATTCCCTCTTCACATAAGAATAGAAGTAGCCATCAGAGTTTATATACTTTTTCAACCCATGTTCCTCAAATACGTATCATTTTTACTTAAGTAACTTCAGTTCTATGTTTTAAGTGATCTAATAATTATTGTTTCTACTATGTTAAGATAGCCTCTCTAAATTGTTACCCTCCATCCAATAAAAATACTGATCTGACTTCATTGATCATTTGGCTTCCAAAGTTTACTGACTGAAGTCAATAATGTGAATCATGTCACGCCAGTTCCTATCAAAAATCTGCTTGAGAGAAATGATCAATTAGGAAAAACAATTTCAGGAAATGACATAGCCACTCTTCTAGATCGGGGGTTGACAGACTCTCTGTAAAGTGCCAGCAGTAACTGTTTTATTAGACTATGTGAACTGGCAGTACAGTCTCTGTTGAAGTTATTTAACTCTGCCATTTGAACAGTACTTCAGTTATGCCTTTGATTTTTATCTAAGTTTACCAAAAGGAAATTTGTTTTTTTTTTTTTTTTTTTTTTTGTAAAAATGTGTGTGGTATAGTGTCCATGTAAACTATTTCTTAAAATTATCTTCTTTGTCAGTTACTTTCTCCTGTCAACCTAGGTTTCCCCTTATTTTTCTGTATTTGTCATTTTTATAAGCCACTTCAAATCAGTTTAGAAAGAAGTAGACAATGAAGAAATATAATGAGAAGAGATAAAATACAGGGGCTATATAAATAGTACATTGGAAGCATGTTCTATAGAATGGAATTTCTGCTTTCATTCATGGGAGATTGCATAATTTGGATCACATACACTAAGAATTTCTTGAAAAAAACTGACTCTCCACAAAAACACCTGTTTGAAGGCATCAGATAACTAACAAAATATTGAAGAATCTCTGTGCCAGGATTTGGGGAAAGTTGAAGTCCCAAGGAGATGATTCCGTTTTCAGGGCTGCAAAGCTCTAATTGTGGTTCCAGAGTGTGTAGTTTCAGTTCTTTAAAGCTCAGTTTCAATTCAGACAGTTTTTAGAAAGAATTGCCTTAAATTCAGTTTAAAAGTGACTTTGTGTTAAAGCCATACTAACACTATGTATGTAAAGAATTGTGTAATTACAGCATGTCCCAGTGGCTCTCTTAGTGCTCAGATATACCTGTGTTTTTTTGCAAATTAGTTTGCATTTGTATCAGGTAGATAATGTGAACTGCAAAACTGATTAGGTTTCTCTCTTTGGTTATGTACTAGAAACTTAGAACCAAATTTGTGGCCTACTGTTGGTAAACTTTTATCATGCATTTTTATGTTAGCCTCATTCTCCACTGCATTCTGTTTTGTTTTGTATTTTTCACCTCATCATTTCCATCTATTTCCAGTTTATGTTCTTGTGTTTTGTTAATCTTTTAAAGTCATATCATCCACTTTTAAGTGGAACAATTCCAGTTATTTGGATAACTTCCTTTTTAGGAACTCCCCTTTTTTGTATTTCCTCTATCATATTGCCAGGCAAATGAGGCAGTATACTGTTTCCGTACGACAGAGTGAACCTTTTAATTATTGGAGGCCTTTTATGTGACACTCATTGCGTAAAACATCATTTAACAGTAATAGCCCCGTCAGAAATTTAAACAGTGTCCTGCCAGGTGTTCTCTGTTTTGATTTTGGCTTTAGGTTGATGGCTTCAGTTTTTAAACCAGATCTAGGTGTAGAGTCACTGTACTTCTTTTACTCATCAACTGTAAACCTACATTGTGGAACTGTATTACCCATGACTTCCTAAAATGTAAATTCCAGGTTTAGAAAATGCAGATTAGGTTAGTGTTTTTCAAGCTCTTCTGTGTTTTTTTAGTGACACAAAATTTTATGAGTTATGATAAGCATTTAAAAAACATGGAATAAGTCAGAATAGAACATGCCAATCAGAAGCAGAGTTCATTACACACAAAACGGGTAATTTTTCTTACGACTTATTTCCTTTGGTTGCAGTGTAAAATGATTCTCGCTGAGCTTTGCAATAAAAAATGAAAGCCACTTGTTTGGCGGGGAACCGTGGTTGTCAGAATACACACTTTAAGTCTGTAACTCTTGGCTAAGAATATCCGATAATTTAATTTTACCATGGTGATTGGGAATGTGATAGTTCAGTAAATTTTCAAAGGCTAAAGAAAAATATGTGCAGTTGAAGTAGAAACTCAAGTGGATTATTCTCATACAAGGAGTGCAGTGTCAACTAAGAAAACAGCTTTTAGCAGTTATGCTTTGTAAGCAGGACATGTAGCCTCTTCTGCAGTTGTGGGCAAGCCGGTTTCATTACATTTAAGTCAGAGATGTGAGAAGACTGTGTTGGCAGTCAGCATATTGTAGGTGCCTGGTAATTGATGAGGATATGAAAAATGCAACTCCAAAAGGGCAGTGATCAGTCATTAGACCGGATAAGTGAAAGACAACTTTGAGCAGCAACATGGCAGACTGGAGTATACTTTTCAGCCCATTTCCTCATGTGTAAAATGAGGTTACCCACTTTACCAAGTTGGTGTGAGAATGTGGGTGAAGTGCCTAGTATATAATAAGTGCTCAACCATCATTATTTGTGCTTCATCTGTTTTTTAGAGTTCTCATTTGAGAAGCTTCAGTGTTATACTTCAATATTTGAAGTCATTGTATAAGTTCTTTATAGATAACATATAGCATTTTGCTTATGTGGCATTTAAAGCAAAACTTAACTGAAGTTCATAGTCTCAGGAAACTGAGGTAAGGATAGGAGGGTAACAATCTATACTTTGTCTTCAAGACCCCTAATAAGAGGTTTAATTGGAAGCATACTGAAATTTGAGGAATGACAACTTGCCTTTTCCAATATCATTTAAATAACGGTTAAACATTTTGTTCAAGTAGATAGAATTTTAAATAATTTTTTACACACTTTGAAGATTACAGCACTTTAATATTAACTGTAAAGTGGGAAACACTAACTGCAGTTACTTTGTTATCCACAAGAGGGAGAGCTATACTTAGTAATAATTTTACATTTGTCTATCTGTAGATTTAAATTCAGGTGGCATTAAGAGCAAAAAACAAGAAGACTAAATGTGTATTAAACTCAGTGACCTAGTTTTTAACCTAAGTTTTAAGCAGTCTTCCAATTAGGCACTGTAAACACCATTATTAGAATTTTTTCTCTTATTTTCCATGCCTAGTTGTCTTAAATGATGAGATATGCTTGGTATTTTAGTACTCAAAACTGTCTTGAGTATTTGCTCTTCTTTTCTCTTAAACAGGCACTGATTTATTGTCTCATACTCGTAATAAACTATTTTTAAGCTGTATTATTCATACCATGACTATCTGCATGAATTAGCACATGTACAGTGTTTACACTTACTGCTATACAATGTGAGTAGCTCTTCGGAAAGCATACTGAATGCCCAGAATTATAACAAGAAACCAACAACTCCCTTCACACTTAAGACAGGTTCCTATGTGAAACATTGTAGCAAACATCTCAGATGTTTTCTGGTGAAGTAGACATGGTTAATTTTTGTGAACTAATTATTTGACACCTGTTAAAAAACCTGCAAAAAGCCCTGTGATTTCTAATACACTACAACTTAACAAATGATGTTTACAACAGACAAAAACAAGCAGATTGTTTTTAAAAGCAGTGTAAAGTTCATTGACAAAAAGAGGTATTTAACCTTACTATAATTCAAAATAATTATATTTTATATATTAAATATAATTATGTTACATATGTAATTTGAGATATTAGATTTCAAGAATGTTATCCTTTTGAAATTTAAGTGTTTATGGTAACACAAAAATTGAAGCATGAGGTGACATATGTTTGTGTAGTTTGATTTCTGTTCTATCATTACACTAATATCTCTAAGGGGTAATAATGATTTTTCTAATTCTATAAGATTATTTATTGTTATATTTAATATTTTGTGATATTCCTGTACAACAAAATGAGAATATATGCTGAAGATTTTTAATTCACTTAGTTGGCAATTAAGAAGCAAAAAAAGAAAAACCTCATTGTCCAAATATGAATGTTTAATGGAAAACAAAATCTATAAAAATGAGGTTTGAAATAATTATAAATTCATAGATAATTGAGGTAAAATACTTTTAATTATAAAAATAGGGGAGGGATTTTTGAACTTTCTATTTCTGTTTTATATAATCCTCCCTCTCTAGCTGCTTTTTCCTTACCAGGAAATCATCTGGCTCTTCATGTCTTATGCTGTCATGTCACATTGGTTTAGAACCAACATTATGAGACAGCCCAGTCAAACATAAAGAATGTAATGCATGAAACCTAAATTTTATTTTAATGTGGACTTGGATATACATTCAGCAGTTGATGTATCATTTCAATTCACAGTGTAAAAGCAATCAAAAAATAAATACAAATTAATAATCCATATTTGAATGAATGTAACTTTATGCAAATAAAGAACATATTCCTTACTACTAATTAATAGCTGCACATTATAGCCTAAAATAAAATTGCTGTTCTGAGAATAGACCCTTCAAGAAACTCTCATCAGTTACAATATTAATTTTTATTATACCATTTAATATAATACAGTTAGTTGCTACATGTCAGAGGGACAGTGTTATTCTTTCAAGATCTTTTCACTTATTATAATGCCCTAGTTAAACATCTTTCAATTGTTTTAATTTACATCATCTCAAAACTAATTGGAGCAGAAATTTGATCTGCATATTTCTAAAGTTATTCCTTTTTGTCTGTAAAAAGAATGATGAGTATTAACTTATTGTAAAAAATCCTTTATTTCAGTGATAATATGCAGCATGCATACTGGGAACTGAAGAGAGAAATGTCTAATTTACATCTTGTGACTCAAGTACAAGCTGAACTACTAAGAAAACTGAAAACCCCAACTGCAATCAAGAAAGGCAAGTCACTGTTTACCGGAAACCACTGATTCCAGCCAAACTGCCTGAAGAGCAGCTAGCTGTCATATCTTATCAAAATCTCATCAAATGAGAGATTGATAAGCCAAAGTATATATAGTATGTTCGAAGCCTACCAATTCTCTGCTTCAGCTTCAGTCTCATACTGGTCAACTTCACACATAAAGGTGTTGCTGATGTGTTTTCTCTTCAGTACTGTATTCTTTTCCCCTTGTGGCTTTTCTCAGCCAAGTGTTGCTTATGTGTATAAGGCTGAGGTGTTAAGTTTGCTCTAGTTGACCTTTTACCACAGCTACTTCATATATTTAAAAAAAAAATAAAAGACACCAAAAGCAAATGTTCATTCCAGTGCTACAGAATATACCAAAGAGCTAGCTTTTTAATTGAAAAAGAAAGCAAACTGTGATTCATTATTTGGTTTTTTTGCATTTCTTACAAGCTTTTCTTTCCATAAAGGATATAGCTGATTAAACAAAAACTACGTGTTCTCCCCTCATGCCCTTCAACCAAACAAAAATTTTCATTGCTTTGCCTTTCATATTTAACTGCTTGACTGATTGAACTTTTCGAGTTTTGTATTAACTAGTAGTAGCTACTTTTGCCAAAGCTATTTTTATACCTTAGAGAAAAATCAGTACTTTTGTACCTAGTATTACATAACAGGTATATTTCTGAAAAGTTGGGTGATATAAATTTGAATGCCCTAAAATGTACTTTTAAAAAAGGAGATAGAACTTTTTATAAAAAATAATCACCATCTAGTTTAAAATTACTTATTTATATTTCACATTGTCTTAAAAGAGTGCACAAGAGGGTTGTGTCATAAATAGTTCTCAGGAGTGTTTATTAGTGAGGAAAAGTGTTACATTTTGGAAAGGAAAATAGAATTTGGAACTCCTTGTCATTTTCGAGAGTTGGTTACATATAAATCAGGGAAAACAATATGGGGTTTTAGCAAACCTACCTTAATTTATGGTTCATTTTGTCCTTGAGTTTTCCACTGGTCAGAGTTATATGTGAGACTGTGGGTTGATGGTACAGATAAGATCTGTCTTTAAAGGAACTCACAGAATAATTCTGCATTGAGTTTTCAATCTAGCTTTGTTTACCTGAATAATAAAGGAGCAGTGCTCTTTTCATACTTGGACATAGCTCATCCTTGTGTTCCTTCCCGGCTAATACTTGTTAGTGCTTTGGAACGTAAGTTTTCGAGCACATTTCCTATGACAGTGGCAGGCTCAAGGTCACCGCTCCTTACCACAGGACTCATTGCTTTGAGGACAGAAATGAGACTAGATCACCTTTCTCCTGACCTTTGTATCACCTTTTTTTTTTTCAAAGCCAAACACTCTACTTCCAGTTCTCCTCCATCCCTATCCATCCTCCCAGGAAAAATAATGAGCTTATTTTATAATGTCGTTCAATTTGTTTCTTCTAAAACTACATGAAGTCAAGTGTAGTTAACTTTGCCATCCTTCTTGAGGTAAAGATAAACTTACTTTTCCACACTGATAGTTTGAGCTGGACAGAGAGGAGAAGCCTGTATTACCAATGTGCTGGCTGTGGTGAATTAATAGCTTTTAAGTAGTCTTTTTCTAGGCCATTGCATTTGTACAAACCTTTATATTTTACAAGAAACAAGATTTTACAAACTTATTTAAACTGCTTTATCCACAAAAGCCTTTGATATATAAAAACTTCATTTGGATCTCACCAATTCAGAATTAATTATTTCTGAAAAATTTACTTTTGGACTGCCTATGGACAAAGAGTTTGACTAAGCTAAGGAATATTATATTTAACTAAAAAATGCTAAAACTTGAGAACTGTCTTAGTCCCCAGAACCATCTGCAACCCTTCTCCAGCCACAATAAGAGCCAGGAACAGGATCTTTCTTTGTATTTTAACTGTATTAGTTTCCAACTTTTAAAAATATGTAGTTCTTCATCTTTTAAAAAGCTCTATGGCATAGGTGGGACAGGAATTCTATATCCATTCTGCAGACAAGGAAAGAGACATCAGGAGCAGCTAAGAGACAAATAGCTAAAGTCACAGTCAGTAATTTGGTGATCCAGGATTAAAACTCAGATCATCTGTCATTTATCTCCTAGTCACAGTGTCTCAATGATAACACTAACTTGGAAATGTTAATTTCATAACCAGTTTTAGAATTCAGCCAAATTAGTGGAGTGTTATAGAATTCTAGGATCACAAATGCCATGAAAACTGACACTTAGTCTGTGTTTTCTTTTCAGCCTGTGCCCCTGTAGGATGCAGTGAAGACCTTGGAAAAGACAGCACAAAACTGCACTTGATGAATTTTACTGCAACATACACAAGACATCCCCCTCTGTCACCAAATGGCAAAGCTCTTTGTCATACTGCATCTTCCCCTTTACCAGGAGATATAAAGATTTTATCAGAGAAAGCAATCCTCCAATCATGGACAGATAATGAGAGATCCATTCCTAATGATGGTACATGCTTTCAGGAACACAGTTCTTATGGCAGAAATTCTCTGGAAGACAATTCCTGGGTATTTCCAAGCCCTCCTAAATCAAGTGAGACAGCATTTGGAGAAACTAAAAGTAAAACTTTGCCTTTATCCAACCTTCCACCACTGCATTACCTGGATCAACATAATCAAAACTGCCTTTATAAGAATTAATTTGGAAGAGATTCATGATTTGACCATGAGGACACTTATCTCTTTCAGTGGTTCTCCCAATATTTAAGGAACTGAAAGGGGATTTTGATTAAAATTTTGCAGTTCTTCAGTATCTGTATTTGAACATACTGTACAAGATGTACAAAAACCAACATAGTTGGTTTTCTAGTATGAAGGAGCACCCTCTAGCTCTGTATTCTAAGAATCCAAAATATGCTACTGTACTAATAAATAAACTTAAGATGTTTAAAAAAGAGAAGTCTCCTTTTGATGACAATTGTTAAATTTTGCCTCTGAAATAAAAGAATGGAATTGGAGATTTTAGATGTGGTTTTACAAAGTGTATGAAATGGCAAAATATCTGTTCATAAAAATAAAAGGAAACTGTATGTTGCTTCAAATTGCATAGTGGAACAAATGGCAGTGCGAATAGGTTACATTTCTGTTGTTAAATGCATAAAGATATGGAAAATATAATGAAATAAAAGCTTCATAGGTTATACCACCTTTACATGCTACTGTGTTTCAATGTTTAAGATTTAAAGTGATTTCTTAGTGTTTTGTTGATAAAATTTTAGAATTGCAGTTTGAATTCTAAGATGTGAAATAACATAATCATTGAAGCCAACATTGTCCCAGTACATTCCATAAGTCCTAACTGAAAAAAAAATGATGATGAAATAGTTGAAAAACTCTGTGAGGTGTAAACATATGATTGTAACTCCATACACCATTCAGTTAGAAGTAGAAGGAGCATTCACACAGGTTTCAGTCTAATCTGCCACTTCAGTAGGCCATTATATAAACCTAAATATGTGTGTAATGATAAAAAAGTCATTTTCTTCAAAGGGTCTACAGCTGCTTGTTAGGTAGAGCAGCTTCTAAATTGTTAGACCTTGTGTTGAAATGTAATATATTTATTGAGAAAGTGGCTTTAGGAGTTTTAATCACAGAAATCAAATGTTGGGCTGTATCGATATTACCAATCATGAAATGTCCACACTTATTCTAAGCGGCCAAGTACTTGTAAACAAAGGAGGAAATAACAAAGATGGCTTCAAATGGAAATTTATTTAAGTTCTTTCAGGGTGGAGATTTACTTGGTTAATACACTTTTTGCCTGAGTTAAAGTATTTTATGTAGAAGGACTTTATCCGTTTTGATAGAGTTTCATATATCTTATACTCAAAAGAATATCTCAGATCTCTTATACTGTATTACTGAATAGCATACATACATAAGACAATGTTCACCATTCACCAGATATTTTTATCTTTCCATTATCTTACACTTATTCAAGCTTGTCTGTGATTAATGGAATTGGTGTCAGATGCTGGAATTTATTCTGACCAATGAACACAGCTGACTCAGGGGAGTACAATCTCCTGCCAAGTAATAGAACCAAACCCAATATGCATAAAACAAATACAATACTCCAGGCTTTAGCTGAAGGAAGCAACTACCTGTGTAATAACAAAGCAGCAAAAACTATTTCTCATGTGACTGCATAGGTTGTATATTATATCTGATCTTTAATGTAGCTTACTGGTTTGCCTTTTTTAAAATCAAAATTGGAAATTTTCCTTTGTAAAGAAAAAACGTCTTATAATTGCTTGATTAATGTTTTGAACAATACTAAGAAATTGTTTAATTAAAATAAATTATTTTTGTTGAAATTGAAGTGGATGTGAAATACTGTCCTTGCCTATATATCAAAAGTCTGGTATTAATTGTTGGTTGTTAATATGAGTCATATAATAGACATTTGTTAAGCCAACTGCTTTTGAGTGGAGAAAATTATTTTCCATCTGAACAGTACAGTGATGATAGCTATCAAACAGGTAAACTAAAAAGTCAGTTATTGACTGTGACAGTTTACAGTGCTAGGAAGATTCCTTAGTAAGGAAAGATTAACCCCCAAATTTTTTACCCAGCTAGAAGTTTTAAAATGTACACTTCATCATCTCTGCTCTGGGAAAAATTCAAAAACAAAACAAAACAAAAACAGTTGCCTATTGAAAGTTTTATTTTGACTTCTTTCATACTAGCTGAAACTTGCTCCACAGAGCTTCCTTGAATCTTTAGATTTCTTTTTATAAGATTCAATTCAGTACATCCATAAATCAACAGAATGAAGAGAACATAAGTAATGAAAACTCACCCATTCCTTCCTCTTGCTCCCTTATTAGCTAAAGTAAAAAGGTACATCTCTAAGAAGACATACTGCGTTGCTGCCAAAATGGAACTGAATTCTTAAAAGCAGGAATGTGCTTATGTAAAACATTAGAAAACCAAAATAAATGGGAAAATTCAGACTTGAAAAACTGAATCATGTGACAAGAAAGTACTGATATTCAGAAAGGCTACTTGGAGAAGGTCTATCTTAAGCGGTGAAAAATGTGGGTTATCACATACGAACGGAATAATATCAACAGAGGCACCAATAAGCAAGCAAGACACAACTGAGGCAGACATACCTAGTGAAAAAATTCAGTAGGGATACGCATGGGTATTCAGAAGGTTACAATTAATGGTTTAGTCTTTGACGTAAAGAGGATGAATATATTATTTATACTATATAATCTAATTTGGCTTCTATGGGGAAAGCAACATGTACATAAGTGAATTTCCACATGAAGAGGGCTACTTATGATTTTAATCAAAGCTATAAAATAGTCACAGATTGTATATTTCACTAGCTTCTTCAACTAAATTCCATATTCATTTAAGTTATCTCTAAAAATAGTTAAGGGCCTGTGCTCTAGGAAATGCACCAATACCAAAAGGTCAATGTGGAAATACAGGCATCTTTACCCCTATCCTGTGTGGTCTCTAGATCTTTTCTATATTTGATTTGCTTTTGTCTGCTCTAGTAATCTTTCTTTTGATCTGTGGCCTGGGAAAATGTGGGTTCTTTGTATTTCAAATAAGAGTAAAATAGTTTTTTGAGTGGTTCACTCAAGAGTAAAGTGTGGAACTTGAACACCTATTGATTCTTTAGTGTCCTATTTCATTTAATTTAAGTACTTTAAAAAAAAAATCTCACGTTTCATGAGATTGGAGCCAAAGTTAAACCTTGTCTTAGTGCATAGTAATTTCTATTTGTGATTTTAATGAAGACTGTGAAAATATAAATAAAACTTAATTATCTTGAAACTAGTTACAATGGCTCATGTCGGGGGAGAAATAACTTTTAATATGAAAGCTCAAATTATTAAATTGGGACGGAAATTTTTATACTACTTCCTGAATCCATTACTATATTAAAGAATGGTAGTTCACTTAGAAAAATGACTTTTCTAAATAAATGATTAAAGGATTCAGTAGCCAAGTTACCAGGTTAAAAACCTACAATAGGTTTTAGAAAATTCTCCATCAAAGATGTAAGTAAAATTAATTCATATAAGTATGTATCTTCTTACCTGTGGTTCTGCTGTGGTTTGAGTGTGTCCCCAAGAGTTCATTTGTTGGAAACTTAATTGTTAATTTAACAGTACTAAGAGATGGAGCTTTTTATGAGGTAAATGGGTGATGAAGGTAGAGCCCTTATGAATGGATTTATGCTGTTATTGCAAGTATAAGTTCTCAAGAGAGTGGGTTGTTATAAAAGCTTGCTCAGCTTGGTCTCTTGCACACACTTGTTTGCCTTCTATTTGTTTGCCCTGTTATGTTTTGATGCAGTATGAAAACCCTTTCCAGAAGCTGCTGGCAAATAAACTCCAGAACCGTAAGCCACATAAGTTTTTCTTAAAAATTACCTGGTCTTGGGTATTCTCCTGTAGCAACAGAAAATGGACTAAGAGAGTTTCCAAATAAGCCTGTACTACTAATAACAGTAACTACCAATATAAAAGCATCTACCAGGTCTGAAACACTGTCTTATACACTGTACTTGTACCTGAAATACTCAGTAAATCCTCACATGCTGTATTAGATTTACTTCCACAGTTGTATAGCTAGTAAGTGGTAGAACCAGGTAGGATTCTGGTTCACGGTTATTCTGCTATACTCCCTAGTTATTATTAACACCTTTGAAAGTTGTCCATTCCGACTTTTTTTAGTTTTGGCTCCCATGATTAGCCATTGGCCTATACATTGGAAGAAAAGTAATATAAGGTCCATATTGAACTCTAAAAAATCAGTATCACTGTTACAGAACTACAGTTGTGGGAAAACTTTTAAAAGGTCCAGAATAACCAGGAAAATCAAATCCCACTTCAGTAATTACTCCTTTCCCATTTAAGAAACCAGAACTTTGAAATAAAATATTTATTTCAGATAAAATTAATATTTCCATAATTAAGATAAAGCAAACATTCTTATCTTCAGTCCATTATTTAAGGTGATTTATACTATAAAATGACTTCCATGAATATTAGATTTCCTGAATGTCATTTGAATATCTGCCTACATGCTTGTGGGAAGCTTCTGTAGCCTTTTCTTTGCAGGAATTCCAGTTCTTCTGAATTCTTCCCTTTCCTTCAGGTATTCCATTTTGCATTCTTCATAAAAGGCTGGATCAGTATAGCTATGAGAAGGTAACGAAAATACTTTAAATAATCTTACATGTGTTAGATGTAAGCTTACTTTAAAATTACTAATATTCAGGCATCTGGTTCATCAGGCTCAATCTTTAGAAGGAAACTTTTAGTAATAGTTACAAATTCACTGCTGACATTATGCTACCAAACTAAAGACCAAATCACTCATTTGTATATAGCACTGTCATAGGATAGAGCAGTGACAAGCACAGCTCCTGTCCTGGAAGCCCATGGTGTTATAGGGCAGACAAATAAAGAGCAGATTACAATTAAGTATACAAAATGCTGTGACACAGGTATGGCCCAGTGTACCATGGAAATGTGGAAAAATGGAGAAAGCAGAGATATCAAGGGGAAGAAATCCATATAGAAGGCAAGAGTGGGAAGGCACATAGATGAGGAAAAACTGATGCATGAAAAACTGCAAGTAGAGGGGTATACCACTCTAGCAGATTATGCAGACAGGAGAAAAGGCCTGAAATGAAGATGGAATGGGCAAAGGTCAAAACGTGATGTGCCACTTATGCAATACTAAGAAATTAAAATCTATACTGAAGGAAATGGGGCACAATTAATAGTGCACCGCACCTGTAAGATCAGTTTTGCGTCTTGGATGAATCTGACAACATGTGGCAGATAGTACAGAAGGGGGCAAGCAAGGTTAGAGGCAAGATCTCCAATAAACAGTTAAAATAATCCAGGCAAAAAATGATGACGAGACAGGCCAAGGGAGGAGCTGTAGGAATGAAAAGGAAGTGATGATGTGGGGAAACTGCAGAAATCAATAGGAAATAACCATCTGAGTTGGGCAACAAGACTGTAGATACCAGACCACTGTATAATTCACAAAGACAGGCTGCAGGCCAAACAAAAGTAGCCAAGTTCAGTTTTAGACTTGGACAAAGAAACAAATGTTACTTCCTTTTTTTTTTTTTTTTTTTAAGACAAAGTCTCTGTTGCCCAGGCTGGAGTGCAGTGGTGCGACCTCGGCTCACTGCAACCTCCACCCTCTGGGTTCAAGCAATTCTCCTGCCTCAGCCTCCCAAGTAGCTGGCATTACCGGCGCCTGTTATCATACCCAGCTAATTTTTGTAGTATTTTTGTTAGAGACGGTGTTTTACCATCTTGACCAGGCTGGTCTTGAACTCCTGACCTCGTGATCCACCCGCCTCGGCCGCCCAAAGTACTAGGATTACAGGCGTGAGCTACCACGCCCAGCCAAACTAAACTTTCTCAGATTTAAGAATGAGAAGAGAACTTGGGGAAACTCCAACTTAATTGAGTAGATTAAGAAAGAAAATGTTGAGAAGTACAGAGAGATGTTAGGGAAATGGGAAAAAGTATTATTAGGGAAGATGGAGACTTTTAAAATGGGATTGGCAGAGACAGGTGAAGTAAAAGAACAATTTGTTGGATTTGGCTACTATCAGCCCATTAGAGGCTTTAAAAAGAGCAGGTTCAGTGAAGTGAGGACAGAAATCAAATCATAGGGTATTAAGGAAAAAGTGAAGGTAAGAGGGAGAAAAAAAGGAGCACAAACCATTAATGTTTCAAGATGATGAGAGGAGAGCAGTTACATTCATTTCGTGGAAATGTCAATAGTAATTAACAAAGCAGAACACCTTATTTAAAGATGAACAAATATTTCTTAGTGTATCTGGGGAATCAAAGTCAAGTAAAATTTTCCTTAATAATTTTCCATTTACTTTCAGTAAATGTCAAATCCTTCTTTGTTTCCTTCACTGCTTATCGCTTCTAAACAAGCAGAAACAACCATCCTTCCCAGCTCCTCCCCTCCTCTCCCCTCCCCTCAGGTGGACTAGAATCTGTTATTTTCTCCTCGTATTTCTAGGGTGTGAGAGAGAGAAGGATATTCAAATGATTAATATTCAGATAAATAGTAAAAAATACTAATTAAAAAACAGCTAAAATTTACTGGATACCTATCATGGTAAGTGTGTTTATATATAGTACCTCACAATCGATCACTCATAAGGTATAATTATGACTTCTTACAATGAACCTGCCTAAGGTCACATGGCCAGCTAAGCTGGCACTGATACAGAAGCTGAACCCAGGTTGCCCTCTCTGCAGTCTATATGCCTGTCTACTCTGTTCTAGAGCTGCCCCATCTGGAGTGAAAGATAATATGTCAAGCTAGCAATAACAATTATGATGACTGAATCTGATATAAAAATTATTTTATATATGAGACAGAATTTAACAATTCAGTCACACAAAAGTTTAAGGATTTGTTTACTCAGTAAATAGTTCTTGGAAGCACTCAGGAATAGAAATGAAAGAATATAAAGTCACAAATGAACTTTCAATCCTCTATAGTAAAGCACTGAGTATCAACAGGGACCATAAATAAGGGCTGATGTTGATATTATTAATTGAAGAAAAAAAATCAACACTGATTATGTTTCATCTATAAGTATAGAGATGAGTTTACATAATCCCTAAAGTCTCTTCCAACTCCACCATTCTAAAAAAAGTCTATAGATTTATGTGTACATACTCTGTTATTAAAAAAATATGTAGGGTTCACGTGCTCAATACTTTTTAAATGTAATCCCCTAAGAAATATACCATAATGACATATATGCTGCACAGGCTAGAGAAATTAAAGGAAATAAAGGCTTACCAAAACTAAGATCTCTCAACATTCAATTAACTATACTTGCTAAAGTATTCTGCAATAATATTTGTCAATAATATGGGTAATAGAACATGGGTAAATTAATCAACATGTGAATTCAAAGAACTTTTTTGGGGGATCTTTTACTTGGATTTAAGGAACTACTACAAAATATTAGTAAACATGGTATTATAAAATTATTTTAAAAATTAATTTAGTTAACTTCAAAAATCTAAATTTACCTTTTTATCACCTAAATAATTTATCTTAACTTTCTAGGAGTCAAATTATATTAATCCAATAAATCACAAGGTGGTAAAAGGTCTCAGAGATATTTTAATTCAGTTATCTTTACATTAGAATAAACAAAAATCAGTCTCTACTATATTTTACAGATCAAACTGTTCATAAAAAATATTTATTAAATGGTAAAAAGTCATATACTTTTGTTTGCTGCCTTTATCTTTTTAATTAGATACAATGCTGACAAAAATTGAAAAGACTCATAAATATGCTGCATTTTTAAGACCAAGACTAAGAACTTCAGATTCAGCCAACAACATAATAAATTTGGTATGGAGAGGTACAGAACACATTACATGTAATAAGTTAAGTAACATACTCTTATCTACCACACACACATACACACAGAAGTACAAACACTGAGATAACTACTTACTAAGCAGTTAGACATTCTTTCAATGCAGAGTTTTCTTTCCGGCATTTTATTACCATAAGAACTCCAGAGTCCTGGCAACATTTGGTAAAATCTGAAATAAATTTAGAAGGAGAAAATACTTATAACTACATCTATATAAATCCACACACACACACGCGCGCGCGCACACACACACACACACACACACAGTTTTTCTTTTTAGAGACAAAGTCTCACTCCACCCAGGCTGGAGTGCAGTGGCACAATTATAGCTCACTGTAGCCTTGAACATCTATTATGTAGATTGTGCTAGGCACATAGTACCATGCTCAACAAAAGACATGTACACCAGTAAAAGGCAGAATAAGATGAGTGATATTCACTTTGCAGAAATAAATTCGATTTGACAAGAGGGAGAGAGGACTTCTGAGATGAAGGGTAAGAAGACTTCATATAGACAGGATTGAGACAGGATTTCCAGTACAGAAAGAGTACAATCATGTCCTGCTTAACAATGAGGATTCAGCCTGAGAAATGCATCACTTGGCAATTTCATCGTGTCTAAAGATTAGGGTGTACTTACACAAACCTAGATGGTACAGCTGACTAGACATCTAGACTATTTGGTGTAGCCTAGGCTACAAACCTGTACCACATGTTACTGTACTGAATACTGCAGGCAATTATAACAGAAAGGTAAGTACTTTTGTATGTAAACATTTCTAAACACAGAAAAGGTACAGTAAAAATACAGCATTATTATCTTATGAGACCACTATGATATATGTGGTCTGTTGTTGACCTCAACATTGCCATGCAGTACATGACTGTATATTCCAGGATAAATACGAAGAGTTGATTCCTCCTTTGAAGAGGAATTGTTTCCAGCCATTGGTGCCTGCTGTCTAGTCTCTCCATATCTTCTTAGTACCTGGCAACAACAGCCGGTGGATTCCAACCTGATGGCATCAAGGCATCCCTCTTCTTTTACACAACCCTGCCATGGTTTCTTAACTTCTAATAACAGGACTCTCACTTCATTTCCAAGTAAGTTCTAGGTGCCCTAGATATTACAAATAGCTTTCTGTCAAATTTCCATTCTGCTAGTTTGCCCTTTAAATTGTACTGGCACCTTGGGTATTCTGCCTTTTCAGGACCACAAACCCAGAAAAGCCTGGTGCCTATGCTACCCACAGCTGGGCCACTTACTACTCTGTCTTGTGTTTGCTTTGGGTCAGACTCAGTCCTATCTTATCTCTTACAGGACAATACGCTTTGCTCATCATCTTTTGCAGCTACTCTTGTGAACTATTCTGGTCTCTCCTTCTGATCATGCCTGCTCTAGTTCCAGGCTCTGCCACCTCTCATCTACTATAAGTAAGAAACTATTTCCAAGTCAGATCTTAAACATAGTCCTTACAAAACTGTAATTAAAAAAAAGTGTCTTCTCAATATCTTTTGTAACTTTTAAAATACAAAACAATCAAGATTCCTCTCTTTTCTTGAGCTATGTGTTTTCCTTCCAGTTACTTAGCAATATAAATTATTTATAATTATCTTAAACAGATAATTTTAGGAGTGTCCATGAAAATACATATTTATGTCATAAAAATTATTTTAAAACCATAAGTAACCAAAAATTAGATTTGTTAAAAGCATAAAAAATTTATTAGGGGGGCTTTGCTGAGACAAGAGCCCTACAGCATAGATATCTGTATCCATGCACAACATCACAGTGATACTTCAAAGAAAATTGGTGGAATAGGAACAAGGAACAAGGGATGCAAGAAATGACTTTAATTCAAATAATTTAATGTGCATGATCACATGAAATGAGTGATACATAGTATTCCCCTTTAAGGACACAAAGGATTAGTTCCCTTTGGCTTCTGCTTCACTAGTCTCAGCAGTCCCACCATTTGCTCTCTCATTCCCAACCCAGCCTGTTAGACTCTAAATGTAATCAAGTATCTTCGTTATTCCAACTACAAATGTTCTTGTTCCTCTTGATGCAGATGAGCTGGGCACAAAGGTCAAATTAAACCAAGTCAAATTCCTTTGTGCCCTTTGACTAAGGACTCTGTAACACTCAAAAGGCAAAGCAGACTTACAGCTAGCTCATTTTCAGTGGAGACACAGAAGGGTAGCTGCATGGCTATCTAAAAGTCAATTAACTTTCACTCTGGAATGCTTAGCTATTACTATGTGTTAATTTTTCTATTTATAGCATGATGTTTAGATCTACTTTTATATAAGCAAAGACTACTATCTCAAATAAAAAGACATGGGCAATCCTCAAACAGTATGTATATAAAGTTAATCCAGAATTAACTAAATCTAGCTAAAGGCTTCTTTAAGAGAACTGCCATGTTCAGTAGTGGCAATGAACCATGGGCTGGATTCCCCTGCACCATCTTACCTTTACCGTCACCTTACTATACCTACACCAGACCAGTTCACCCAAATAATGTCTGGAAGAAAGGTAATCAGGTCATGAATTTTGCCTAATGAAAACACACTAGTTGACCAAACCTTATTCCTTTTCTGGAAAACACAGAGACAATGGCTGTTAGCAAATGTTTACTTTCTGAATTTAACAAACCCAATATTTTAAGTTACTTGAGAAACTCAGAATAGGATGCTTAGTCATTGCATTAAGATTTTTTTTGTCTAATATTAATAAAAATGTCTTTGGTAGGGAACTGGTGCAAAAAAGCATTTATATGTTCTGATCACAACAAAAGCATCATCTATGCAGTTTCACACTTGTCCAAATCTCTTCAGGAGTAAATGTGACTGACCTGAAGCCTCAAGCTGTCTGTAAGGTTTCTGTCACTTGTTTAGCAACAAGATTTTAATGAGGACCTTTCTTTCATCCTTCATTAGCATATATTCATATAATACTGATGTTGCTAATACTGCCAACTGATTTCTAAAATGGTATTCTGAAACAAATCCAATTTAAATTACTTCCATTTTTCAATTAATGTTAAATTTTAAGGAGCTTGTATATCTGATTCTATCAATAATTTTAATTACTATTAAATACTATAAAAATCAAATTTCATTCAATTCAATCTTAAGGTAATACAAAAGAATATCAATAAACAGAGTAGGAATGTGGAGAGATTGTTAAAAGTTATCAAAGGCTTAAAGTAATACTCAATACATTTTTTTCTTTAAAATATCAAGAACATAAAATTCCATGTCTTTCTTTTGTAAACTCTTCATTTATCTCAAAGAAACCCCTTAATATCATATACTATTGGTAAAAATATTCTTTGAAGCTCACGCCTGTAATCTCAGCACTTTGGGAGGCCAAGACAGGTGGATCACTTGAGGCCAGGAGTTTAAGTCCAGACTCGCCAACATGGTGAAACCCCATCTCTACTAAAAATACAAAAATTAACTTGGCGTGGTGGCAGGTGCCTGTAATCCCAGCTATTTGAGAGGCTGAGGCAGGACAATCACTTGAACCCAGGAGGAGGCTGCAGTAAGCTGAGATCATGCCACTGCACTCCAGCCTGAGGAACAGAGTGAGACTCTGTATCAAAAAATAATCTAAAAAATTTTTTTGGATATAATTTGATTTTGGATCAAGATTATCTAGGAAAAAAAACATAAAGAGATAAAGTCTTCTTCTATCTTTAACATAATGGACAAAATAATTATTCACACTGTAATTAAGTATAAGGAGACTATATAATTTCCAGTTTAACTATGATATGAAAAAAACTTGGGAGCCTCCATATAAAACAGTAACAGAAATAATTTATTTTGAATTTTATGGAACTTCCGGATGTATTTTGATATTTAAATAACCCCCAAAAATGTGGTTCCTTAATTGAGCAAAGGAGAAGTATGACAACTGTGCATTGAACTAGAAATAGCTGATAGTTCATCTTTTACACTTTCTCTGCACATAGTCAGTTTTAAGCCACATCATTACTTTGCAAATGCAGTTATCCAATTAGAACTAAAGTATTCACTGAGATGACAACTTTTAAAACACACTAAATTAAAAGAAATAATCCCCATTATTTCCTTTCTCTGACTAGAACCACTCTGTTCATATCTCCATTAATTTGATTTTAAAAATGAATTTTTTCACAACCATCTTTAGACACAGCACTTATTCTTAACTTTTCAGGACTTTTTCTTAGCCAGTAAAGTCTTCGAAAAAATGCCTATTTTCTCCCAGCATTAAAAAAAGCAAAGGCATACTTGGATAACAATATTCTTTAGAATTTTAACATATAAGCTATAGGCAATATTTCCATGACTACACCATCATCGTAATAGGTGGAAAAAAATTAGAACATCCTGTTTATTAAAGAACATAGTAGGGCAGACTTAAAAATCACCCAAAATTCATAATACATCATATCAACTCTGCAAATAGGAATCTGAATCACTAAACTTTCCTTATATAAAACTGGATAAGAATAAAAGCAGAAAGGTACTTTAAACATGATATAGAAAAGATCTCTTGAACAGTTATTGAATTATCAGAGGTTTAAAAAATGTAGGACTAAAAAGGATAAAATTTGAAAGAGGGTCTAAGTGCCGACTTTTTCTAAGATTTCTCTTCAGACAAAGGTATCTGCAGTTTTAAATCTGTAATGTAAATTAAAATCTACAACTAAATTTTCTCAAGAAAAGCTATCTTTTATGTGAAGACTTCTGCAGTGAACAGTCTAATGTCAGGTCCCTATAGACAATGCCTAAGAGCTGTGCCACTCTCAGTAATCATCATCCCTTCTGGAAACTGTGAAGTAAAAAGTGCCCGAAGACAACAGGAGGTCACCCTCAGTTTTCAGTGCAGTGATGAAGGTCTGGATCAAAGCAGAGACAATGAAGGTAGTATTTTTATCCCCTTATTTCTAGTAACTGCTCAGCGCATTATTCTGTATAACCAAGGTTCTGACTTTATGTACATTAGTCTATACAATTTCGTAACAGAATTGTAGATCCCCCTGTGACCTCTGCATCAATGATCCCAGTAGTTTGACTTTTGGAAAGAATCTAATCCAACCTATAGACAAAGCCGAGAATAAATTAATTCCAGACTAGATGAGAATTAGGATAAATTCAAGTAAGCTGAAAAAGTGT